AAAATCTGTTCAACATATCCTATCACTCAAGATACGGTGATACGGTGTTCAAGAAAAACATTTTATTTGTATTACAAATGCAGAGATATATTTGTGCCACAAATGGAAATAAGGCATCCTTATTTTATTACCAGTGTGTCATGGATTAACGGTTTTATAAGAAAACTTAAGGTCAAATTCAGCAGAGATCAATTCTATATGGATCTGCATTGATTCCCATACTCACTACATTATAATATTCTGTAAGCATGTCTTTATGCATTACCATTTTTAATGGAGAAAACATCATTGTTATATTTAAATGTTGAGTTCAAGGCCACAAGTACATAGACGTCGGAACTGGGGGGTGGGGGAAGCCCCTCCGCACACACCCCCCCAAAAAAATTGACCTTTTGTATTATCCCTCCCCACCTGCAATTAGCTTTTGACGCTTATGAAGTGTTTTTAGGGACTATAAGTTCATATTTCAAATTTATTTGGGTTTTCTTGGCCTGATTTTAACACTTGTTTCAATAAGGTTAGGGTCAATACGGGCTAATATGAATTAGGTGTCCTTTTTTCCTTTACAAAATTTTTTTTAAAAGTCTCTATCACTTTAAAACTGTCGTTTCTTACCTTTGAAAGGTTTAAATTAAACAAGGTATAAAATTGTTGATTTTTCATAGAAATTTCCTTTTCCTTTAAACCTCCGATGCTGAAGATTTCAGGCTATAGTTTGCATCAAATACTTTGTACTACTTCTAATACCGATAGAAATGAACCTTAGTGCGAAGGATTTAAAGAAAACTATAGCTAGACTTCCTCAGCTAATTAATTTCAGCACGTTTTGATTGAAACAAGTGGTTGAAGTCGGCCAAGAAAACCCGAATCAGTTTATGTCATGTTGGACGTCGAGGGACACCAGACCAACATGTCTTATAGTCCTTTGATATCTCGCTAAGTTTGATTGATTGACTGTATACTGTTTAATGTCCCTCTCCAGAATATTTCACTGATATGAAAATTTTGGACAGATCCTGCTTCATATAGATACAAAAATAGGTTGGGATTCCAATACTCAGTAGATTGTTGGAAGCCCTGGTCTCCAAAAACCAATTCGATATTGTCCATTAATTTTAAGCATCTTTTTTGATATGAGCTTTCAGAGTAATTGTATTTACAAATAGAATGATTTTAATAAAATCATTTTACAATAGACCACTGACAAGGTAATTACTTGTCACATTTTAGCTCACCTGAGCTGAAGGCTCAAGTGAGCCTTTCTGATCACATTTTGTCCAGCGTCCGTCTAGCTGTCTGTCCGTCTGTCTCTAAACTTTTCACATTTTCGAATTCTTCTCAAGAACCGCAGGGCCAATTTCAACCAAACTTGCCACAAAGTATCCTTGGGTGAATGGGATTCAAGTTTGTTCAAATGAAGGGCCACGCCCTCATTCAAAGGGAGATAATTGGGAATTAATGAAAATTTGGTGGCATATTTTAAAAATCTTCTTCTCAAGAACCACTGTGCCAGGAAAGATGAAACTTATAAAGTAAAAAACCTCAGGTAGTGTAGATTCAAATTTGTTCAAATCATGACCCCCGGGGGTAGGGCGGGGCCAAAATGGCTGACCGAAGTTTTACATAGAATTATATAGAAAAATTCTTTAAAAATCTTCTTCTCAAGAACGACAAAGCCATAATTCATCATATTCATATGGAAGCATGCTCAGGTAGTGTAGATTAAAGTTTGTTCAATATTATGACCCCGGGGGGTAGGGCCCGGCCAAAAACACAGACCTAAGTTTTACATAGAAATGTTTAGGAGAATTCTTTTAAAATATTTTTCTCAAGAACGACAAAGCCATAATTTATCATATTCATATGGAAGCATGCTCAGGTAGTGTAGATTAAAGTTTGTTCAATATTATGACCCCGGGGGGTAGGGCCCGGCCAAAAAGACAGACCTAAGTTTTACATAAAATTGTTTTGGAAAATTCCTTAAAAATCTTCTTCTCAAGAATGGCAAAGCCATTATTCATCATATATCAATGATATATATATGGAAGCATGCTCATGTAGTGTAATTTCAAGTTTGTTCAATACATGACCCCCCGGGGTAGGGCATGGCCAAAATGGCCGAACAAAGTTTTATATAGAAATATATAGGAAAATTCTCTAAAAATCTTCTACTCAAGAATGACAAAGGTATAATTCATCATATTTATATATGGACGCATGCTCAGGTAGTGTAGATTCAAGTTTGTTTAAATCAAGACCCCAGGGGTAGGGCCGGGCCAAAATGGCCGACCTAAGTTTTACATAGAAATATATAGGAAAATTTTTTAAACATCTTCTTCTCAAGAATGACAAAGCCATAATTCTTCATATTTATATAAAAGCATGCTAAAGTAGTGTAGATTCTATTTTTTTTTCAAATCAAGACCCCCCAGGGGTAGGGCAAGGCCAAAATGGCTGACCAGAGCACTACTTTTTGATTTAAACTTTACAATAAAAAGCCATTTTCTACTTTTTCTACCCTTTATGCACAGATGAGCGATGTGGCCCATGGGCCTCTTGTTATTAAAAGAAAGCAGCTGTCAATGATGTCAAAATGCCAGTATTTTAAGTTGTTATGGGAATTTTAGTATATAAAGTTAGAAAGTCATTATCAGACTTGAAATAGTAGAACACCAAAGACTCTGCCACAACAGCTGATTCGGGGTTTTCATTAATTTTGTTTAAAGCCAATTCAATAGTTTTTAAAATGATATAAAATAACTTGGTTGTATTTTGTCTTATACATATTTCAAACCAATTTTAATGCCTTTCTTTTTAATGGAAAAAAAAATCAAAAGTTACTACGAATATTTCTTCTGCCTGATCAATACATAATCCTCCAGGAAAGCTGATCCCATCTCTGAACTTTCCACGAGTCCATTTTATAATCAGTTAACAGATTTGTGTTATTGTGGATGTTTTAAAATCTAAATCACCTGTAGTTATCGCCACTTGTTTTCAGTTCGAAAAAAAACTAGGTGTAGATATAGAGATGTGCACACCGTTCCTAGGCACCTATAGCATTTACTTGTAATTGATTTGATATTCCGTTGAAAGTTAAAAGATTTAATCAGTTAAATCTTAACATACAAGACATTGAGTGATTCGTGTGAATTAGAGGATTCTTCTTTTCAACAAAATCGCTAAATAAAATACATTATTATCTAATCAAGTGAATTTTGTTGTTTTATTAGAGATTTAATATTTTCATCTATTCTGGATGTGTTTTCAGTTTTCTTTATCTTTTCAAACCGATCTATTGACCGGTCAATAGACTGCACATCTATTGACCGGTGACGTATTTCGTCAAAAACGATCCGGGTTTCGAATTTAGTTGTTTATAACACTGCATAGACATGGTAAACAATTATCTTATTCGATCTTTCTGCATTGGTTTTAAAAATTGTGTGATTTCAATGGTCGGATATTTTATTTAATGAGAGTTACTTTTAATTAATACACTGTGGGGTGTGGAGACTGGTCCTTGGGGTGAGACCTGTTATTCGAGGTCCCGTGTAGCAGTAGGTGCTCTGTTGGCACGAAAAAGGGCCCTCTCCACCGGGAAGTGGTGGCCTCTCCATAAGAGTGAAAATTTTTTGAGAGGAATGTAAACAATAGTCTATACAATCAATCTTTAATTAATATTACAGATGCACCGTATCTAGGTAAAAATTAACAACATGGTACGGGAACCTTATGTACTGAATATACAATTTTGAACACTTAATACGGAAAATAAATTAGGTAATAAAACAATTATTTAATGCCTTAACAGTCAGTAGACCAGAAAATTTTTCCCTCGGTGCAGGGAACAGCTCAGTGTGTTCTATAGCCCTCGGCCGCTGGCCTCGGGCAATAGAACACAGAGCTGTTCCCTGCACCTCGGGAAAAATATTCTGGTCTATTGGCTGCTCAGGCATTAAATAATTGTATACAGCTAAATGTAATGCCTTTACAGAATTGTCTTTAATATTTAAAAAATTTTGTACAAACATACGCACTAAAAGCATAATATACGGCATCTATTTGCAATGTCTTGCATCTATAAACTTAAGAAGAAATTATTATGAATTAGAAGTGACAATTAATTCAATTCAAATGAAAATCAGCATATCATGATCTCAATGTTTATCTTATACTGTATTCTTATTATAACAATGTAACATACTTTCACAAAAATTTCATGAAATTATCTGAAAATAGATTGATATTTATCATTTACATTTTCATTTTCCACATCTCATCTTCTGGAAACTTGAAGAAAACAATATCGTTTACAATGAAATGTTATCTTACAAAATGAAATATTTCAAATTTATACATGTATACAAATAGACCCATTATGACCACCTTTTCACAAGTTGAAGTATATACATAGTATACACTGTATCTCTATTTAAGGTATTTAATTTTCTTTAACTTTCCTCCCCATTCAGCAACAAACAAATAGTTTTTATTTACGCATAATCCCCATGGATCCTTCAGACCACAGTTATCTATATAACGGAGGAACTGTCCGTCCTGGTCTAGGATGTGGATACAGTGGTTATCACAGTCTGCTGTCAGGATCTGACTCTGGCTGTCTGTTGTGATGCCATAAGGTTTAAATGGTTTATTCTTTAAAGTAGGAAGATGACCAGTGTATCTAAATCGGAGTTTTCCAGCTTGGTTGACAACTACAACAGCACCAGCTTCTTTGTCAGCCACACAGATATATAGGTTTCTGTTCTCACTTATGTACTTCATTTTCGTATTTGCTGAATACAGAGGTTTATCCTCCTCATCAAACTGGATTGTTTGTTTCTCTGTCGAGCCCGAGTAACGGACAACTTTGGATTGTGTTTCATCATCACTGAACAGGGTAACCAGGAGATCACCAGAGGAGGTGTCACAGAGTTGTGAAGGTGTCCAGTCCTGTAGTGTGATCATCTTCTCTGTCTTTCCATTCGTAACCTTATTAATAGTCCCTTTCTTCCCATCAGTGTATACTAGATCTCCATCCCCTGTCACGGCTATATCATTGGGTGCTCCCCCTGATTCTTTAGTAATTGTCTTGATGAGTGAGCCTTGAATGTTAAAGCATTTCATATCACTGACTCTTCCACTTGTCCAGATTTCCTCTCCATTGAGGCATCTAACACTGTATAGTTTTTCATACCCAGTATCTATAGTAGTGATAAGTTCTGGTTCTTCTAGCAATTCTCTAGTTAGTATCTCTCTGGGTTTTTTTAGCTTGTAGCCATTTTCTTCGGTTGTATTAGATAATGGTGCAAGAGATCCAACAAACTTGTTCATCTGTTCGCTATCTACTGGTTTAGCTTTAAAAATGGGCCATGATACTTTCACTTGTGGAGGAAGTTTACTGAATTCTTTGTTTCTGGAGCTGTAACCCATGGTCATGGACACTTCATTTGATTCTTCCATTTCCCTCAGGTTGAGCAGAGTTTGTTCAATAAGAGTCTGTATTTGTTTCACTTCATCTGCATGTTTCTTCATAATGTCAAAATGTTTTACTTTAAAATCATCAATTTCCTTTTTTATTGCATTGACGACATTGTCAATTTCTTTGTGCCATTGTTTTCCATGTTCTGTCACGGCTGTTGTAAGTTTCTCATATTCTCCATCCAAGCTAGTCATCTGTGTCTCTATATCGGTTGTGATTTCTTTGTATTTAGGAAAAATAATGTTTTGTAATTCCTCTGTATCTTTTGCGATATCTTTTTTCTTGGAGTCGTATATTTCTGCGAGGACTAAGAAATTGTGTCCTTTATGCTGTTCTGATGCCGAACATAAGGAGCAAACAGGAAAGTTACATTCCTTGCATTGTAAATCACATAATTTGGTTGGATGTGTTGCACACTTTGGATAAATCAAGGTGGATTTTCTTTGTTGGAAAGGGACAATTTTATGTTTGTCATATTCATCAGCAATATGTTCTCCAATACAGGGTTTACAGAGTTTGACATGACAGAAATCACAGTCTGTACTACAGCTGTCTCACAAACGTCACATCTGATCACATCCTGGGCACTGAGGTGGGGATCCATAGTTTCTGTAGATGTTCTGTAAATAAAGAATAGCATTGTTACTAAAAGTAATCCTGCATTTTTATGAATTAATAATAATCATTTGGACTGGTCAATAAATACTTATGAATATCACTTCCTTGTATCTAACTGTATAATAAAGGTACATAACTACATGAAATATGGTATTTAGAAATACAAAATGTTAATGCTGGAATCTATTTTTAACAACTTTATTGCATATTTACAGACTTAACTAATTCAAGTTTCAATTTTAGGGTAAATTGAAAATGACCTTTTCAAAAATGTTCATGAAAATATACAAACCGAAAGTACATTTGCAAGAATAATTTCTTTAATGAAATTCTAAATATAATTACCGTTGTACTCACTTAGAAAACTTGTCTCACATTGCATAAGGTAGAATAACAGAAGTCATTCGTCAGTTCTTTTTTCATCACGTCTTCATGGTATCCGCCCAAACCTGTCTTCTCCACAGTTCAGTGTTTATGATCGCCCTGAAATTAGAGTTATCGCTCTTGCAGCGATTATAAGGTTAAAAGAACTTTTACCACCCCCCTTTTTTAACCTTAAGCGAAATGCCTTGGGTTGACACGGTTCAAAGTCTGAAGATCATTAAATTCACGCTCCTTAGCTTTAACCATTACAAAAATCCATGATAATCTTTAATTCTGTGTGGTTACACTACAGTATAAGTCTATTCTCTCTGATTGGCTCGTCTAGCAACATTCATTACATTGTAAAAAAAAAATAATAAATAAATAAATAATAATAATTAATTACCTTCAAGTGCGTTAAGAGTGTACATCAACATTTTTACCATGGGGAAATTTAACGCACTTTGGAAAAAAACATGTATTAAACAAAATTTCTAGACTTCGATTTTAGTAATTGAGAGAATTAATTTGTAATAATTATATCTTCCGAAAACTCTTAATTAACGTGATTAAACCTTATTGAGAACAAAGAGAAGACGAGTAGAACGTCTCTCAGCCCAGCTCTTTTTTACATAGCCATGGGTAGCAAATTGAACGTTGCCCCCCCCCCCCCCAAAAGTAATCCCCAATTTTCAATGTCTTTATTATGTAACAATATCTTTGTAAAACATTCGTGTGCCTAAGCACCCTTCCAGGTACCTGATGCCTATGCTACATCAAAATATGTATTTGCATAACTACTATGACGCTGAAAACTTTCGATAAATTTTAGTTTACATAAAATGCATGCACATTGGAAAAACTTAAGTACAGCTTTAAACATTTAAGAGAGAAAGAAATTTCAAAGTATGGAAAAATAGAAATCGCTCACTTTCACATCCTGAAGTGACCTTATCACCGAAAAGTTATCCAACAGGTTCAATTATTAATCATATTTAAGATTTGCAAGAATATCGACCACACACTTTTTTCAAAGTGCGTTAATATACATGCGCAGATCTAGAGGGGGGGAGGGGGTCGGGGAGGGGGGTCTAGAATTTGCAGAGATATTAAATTGATACACTAAACCAAGAAAAAGGTTACTCTAGAAAAGGGAGTCCCCCTTAAAAACGCGGACGTTTATTAAGTTGGTATGAAAAGTAATATGTATAAAGCATTTGCAGTCAAAAGTCACCCCCTCCCCACCACCACCACCACCACCACGATATGGATTTTCACGTTTGGGCAAGTTAAGTTTAGGTCTCTTTTTTTGTGAAGGGGGGGGGGCGGGGGGCTTGTCAACAAAATTCTGAGGTTGGATTTTTTTTAATAGGGACAAGTTGTCATGTTGTAAATTTTGTATTTACTGCCACCCGGTAAATTCAAAATTTACAACATGACACTGGGTTGGACCCCCCCTGGAAAAAAATTCTGAATCCGCGCCTGAATATATAATATGGTCGATTATAACGCACTTTGAAAAGAAATTTTACTTTTTCAAAGTGCGTTGAATTGGTCCCAAATTTAACCCACTTTGATTTTTTTTTTCAAATTGAGTAATTTTTCAAAGTGCGTTGTTAAACTGCAGCTCATATGTCAGCGCCAAATTCAGGTTAATTTTGTAAAAGCATTTAGTTAACATACCGTATATCCGGGTTTTTTCGCGATTATCTATTTTTCGCATTATTTGCAACCATTTTTAATTCGCAAAATTTAAAACACGCAAAAATTATATCAGCTATAATATGACATAAAAACATTACCATTTTGAACAAAAAATTCTTAATCGTAAAAATTAACTTACTCAAAATAAAAACTCTACAAATCTACCCTTTTTCGCAAAATTTCCAACACGCGAAAAAAAACGGATATACGGTATATTTTATTAGGATATCTATATGCATTGAAATTACTCAGCCTCAGACTCAGAGAAAATTTAAATTTTTTTTATTAATGATACCCACACAAATCTGTCTATATATGCAGTTGAACTTCAGTATCTTGAACACCGACATGGATATGTGGAATTCAGTAATGTAGGAATTCCATCCACTCTTTAGCTCACCTGAGGTGAAGCCTTGGGTGAGCTTTTCTTATCACATTTTGTCCGTCCGTCTGTCTAGCTGTCTGTTCGTCCGTCTGTAAACTTTTCACATGTTTGACTTTTTCTCAAGAACCACTGGGCCAAATTACGGTAAATCAATCTTAGCTCAAAGCATCATTGGGTGAAGGGGGGTTTAAATAGTTAAAATTAAGGGCCAAGTCCATCACAAGGGGAGATAATCAAGAAAAGACCAAAATATGGTGGGGCCATTATATAAAAAAATCTTCTCAAGGACCACTGGGCAAGAAAAGCTGAAACTTATGTGGAAGCATCCTGGTGTAGTTTAGATTTTAAATTGTCCAAATTATGACCAGTTGGGTTACAATATGTATTTCTAGGGGGGAAATCTGGCAAAGAACACAATAGTCAAAGCTATACTCAGGTAAGAGTTTTGTTCTATGCATGGGCCTCTTTTCAAAAGTATTTAACTCTTGATACCTTAAACTCTCTGATATCTGAAGTTTTTTTTCAGCCCCACCTTGTTCGAGAAAATGGGGTTTAAGATTACACATAGAGACATGTTGGAGACACAATGGAAACTGGAAAGATATTCTCAATTCATAGTATGTTGATCATAAGTGATAACATGGACCAAATCAGCAAGGATTAACATGGATATGCGGTGTTTTCTTACGCAGGGTTTGTTCACTCACTCTTGCGTAAAACCCTTGATCCCCCAAACTCTGGACATATTGTATACTTCCTTATCATCAAGTAATGTCTTTCATAGGATATATATGACTGATCCCTACATGATGTTCACACGCAGAGTACTTTCATCTACAATAACTGTACTTACTTTATTGACCCTCCACCGAAATTTATTAGCTATCTGGAAATTGACTACAAATGAACCAGAACCACATAACATTTACAGCCCTCTTACTCCTCTTTTCCTTTCTCAAATTATTGTTGAATCATCAATGATTGTGGGGAACCAATTTTTAGCTCACCTGAGCTGGAGGCTCAAGTGAGCTTTTCTGATCAAAATTTGTCCGTCGTCTGTCGTCGTAGTCGTCGTCGTTGTCGTCATTAACTTTTCACATTTTTATCTTCTTCTCAAGAACCACTGGGCCAATTTTAAACAAACTTGACACAAAGTATCTTTGGGTGAAGGGGAATCAAGTTTGTTCAAATGAAGGGTCATGCCCTTTTCAAAGGGGAGATAATTATGAATTAAAGAAAAATTAATGGCATTAAAAAATCTTCTTTTCAAGAACCATTGGGCCAGGAAAGCTGAAACTCATTTGGAATCATCCTCAGGTAGTGTAGATTCTAATTTGTTCAAATCATAACCCCTGGGGCAAGGGTGGGGCCAAAATGGCCGACCCAAGTTTTACATAGGAATACATAGGAAAAATCTTTAAATATCTTCTTCTAAAGAACCACTGGGCCAGGGAAGATGGAACTCATGTGGAATCATTCTAAGTTAGTGTAGATTCAAGTTTGTTCAAATCATGACCCCTGGGGCAAGGGTGGGGCCAAAATGACCGACCTAAGGTTTACATAGGAATACATAGGACAAATCTTTAAAAATCTTCTTCTCAAGAACCACTGGGCCAGGAAAGCTGAAATTTATGTTGAATCATCCTCAGGTAGTGTAGATTCAATTTTATTTAAATCATGACCCCTGGGGCTAGGGTGGGGCCAAAATGGCCCACCCAAGATTTACATAGGGATATTGAGGGAAACCTTTAAACATCTTCTTTTCAAATACTTCAAAGTTACAGTTAGTGTTATTTATATAGAATCATCTTCAAGTAGTGTAGATTCTATTTTGTTCAAATGATGAATGCTTTGGGGGGGAGGGGTTAATTCAAGCCTGATGTGCTCAGGTGAGCGCTGTGGCCCCTGGGCCTCTTGTTATTGAATTTTGTGGGTTATCCCTATCCAGGAGACAGTATACATCTCCATGAAAAACTATTTTTATATTTTTTTATCATTAAACTTTTGTTTATATCCCAGAATTAACAACCCCATGGACAATAAAATGTTGCTTACCCTGACAAACATTGATCCCCATGTCAAATTAAAGAATTTTCCTCGTAATGATTTTACATGATAATTTTTAAGGAGCTACTAATGACACCATACAAATAATGACCCCATACAAGATATACCCCGGTATGACACCATACAATATGAAAATATCCCATGGCCTAATGACAAAATTCCCCAAGATCTCAAGACACCATGCAAAATGTCCATGATGTTGAAACACCATACAATATGTCCCATTTCTCATGACATCACAGACAACATGAGGACTTGATCCATACATCAAGGGTTCAAATCCAACTGTGGGATGTGGAGACCAGTCCTTCGGATGATCCATTTAAGGTTCATTGATACTCTGATAAGAGAGATAACTCTACAGATAAGAAAGATAACTTTTTGCACACATTTTGTCATGAAATTCAGTAATTTGTCATGCCAGAGTTTACAAATCTCTATCATATGGACCATTTAATGGTTAACTCAAGCAAACTTCACCCATTGTTCAGAGGTTGATTTCTAGTTCTATTGCTAGTATATTCAAAAATTATTTTGAATTGTTTACCTAAAACATTTACACTCAGTTCCTTTAAACTGTGTAAATTGATCAAAAAAAATCTATTTCTAAACGTGAAAGTCTTTTAATTGTACAGAAATAAAAGCCGCAGAATTGTTTATAAACATTTAATTAATATCTTATTTCATTAGAAAAGAATTTCAAGGGCAATAATGGAACGATAACTCTTGATTATGAATGCATTTTATTTTACATGCACAGAAAACAATTTGATATTCTGATTTAAAAAGCATCGCTCCAGTATGTTTACTAAAGGGAATTAGATAGGTATGAGAGTAAATATTATTTTTATATACATGTATACCTCATATTTTTAATTTAATTGTGAGATTAAAAATAATTGATCCTTTAATGACCATATCAAATTTTCTTCAAATCATGATTTGACATATCATTTATTTCTAAAAATGTAAGCAATGCTTCATACTTCAAAATATTTTTTATTTGAATTTAATGTTACAGTTGTTGCTGAAAATCAATGTTTGGAATTAAAAAAAAAGTCGTGAAATGTGGAGCAGAGGGATATTGTCCCTTAAACCAAGGTCCTGTGTCGCAGGAAATGCTGGGCAGAAAAAGATCCCCTGCTGCTCAATGGCCATGAGTGCTGAGCAAAATTTGTAGCTCTCTATGAGTGAAAAATTCTCAAGAGAGACAATAAATAACAAACTAACATGACACCTTTCCCATTTTCCACTTTTTCACTAGAGGACGAGAGATCTGCAGAGTTTGTAAAGGATGTTGTATGAAGTCAGTGTTTGACATGGACCATTATAGGCTCTTTTTAAATGATATTAATAAATTATTGTTTTTTTTTTCTCAGTTCTGAATTATGGTCCTGTCAATCTTGCTAAACCGCAGCTCAACCTCAAACCTATTGCAACAGAAATTATATAGTGGTTAATAGATTTAATATATTTAAAATAAAGAAGTAAATACCATGGTAGTAACTAATAACTATATACATGATAAAGAAGTAAGTACTGTAGTTGAGAGAAATATAATGAGAGGAAAGTATAAATAACTGTATAAAAGGTGCATAACTCTGTAATTTTATCCAAATTCTAAAGGTAAGTTTATTTTACAATTTTTGTTGCAAATTTGTTTTAAGTTAAATAATGAATTGATCAAACTATTGGTTTTACAGGAAAATTATTCACTTTTATTTTCCTTGAAATTTTTTTAAAAATCTTTTGAAAGAAGCATTATAAATTGGAAAATAAAGTTTTTAAGAATTTTTCTGTATTTTTACAAAAATGTACACAAAATTTTACAGGTATTGTTTAATGTCATAATCATTATAAAAGTCCCTAATTATTCAGGAAACAGATCTATTTCATGTCAGCTGCCAATAACGTACAGTCAAAAACAAGATAGGCATCATTAATCATAAAATGAAAAATAAATAAATAAAATAAATAATACATGTATTGAAATGGTGCTTCACAATGGCTTAACATTAAATACTTGTCCTCTCTTAGAGCCCTGTAGAGTAACACTGCTCTGTTTCTTGTTTTGTGTAGTTTTAGTAATGGGAATGACTCTCAGATAATTAGTAGCCTTCTCAATCTTTGTCTTTTCAAGGTTCGACACAATCGGAACAACCCGGATATGATTAAATTTCCCATTGACCTTTGCTGTCTCTTTACTCTGTTCATTAGAATTTTGAACACTACTGCATGCACTCCTGTCTTCTTTTGAGATATTTTCAGACTTATTTTCCATGCCTGACATTTCTGGTATGTCTGTGTCCAGTACATACATTAAAAAGTTTTTTAACGAATGTTTTTTCCTTTGTGGTGAATTTTCCCTTTCTATCTCCTTGTCCCCTTTTTCTTCATGTTCTCTTACACACTCCATATTGGAAGATGCTTCATGTCTTTCATATTCTTGTACATGCTCAGAGGATATTTCAGACCTTTTTTCACTTTCACTTCTCCAGCTGAACTTAACTTTAAGTTTTTCCACCTTATTTTTCTCAGGATTTGTAATATCTTTACGAGGTGAATTCTTAGAGTTTTCTCCATTTGAATTTTCCTTATCAGAAGTTTAATCTACATTTTCCCCACATCCTGTAGGAACACATTTATTCTCTGGTCCAGATTTTTTATCATCACCCCCTTTGTTGTTGAGAATTTTCTTCTTCTTTGTCTTCTCTTCAAAAAAATCCCCCATTGAATCATCAAAATGGACCCCTCTCTTTAAGCTCTGCAAAGATCTCTTCCTTTTTAAGGCAAGCGGTTTCTTGTTTAGCAGTCTGGAGGGAGCTAGAGTTCGATTCCCAAACATCCACCTCTTGACACTGTCAGGAATTTCAAAATTTTTCTTCCTTGGACTGCTGATGTAAGGCTTGAAAACCGAAACACCTGCCCGATCTGAAATACAAATTCCATAAAGGACCCCGATTCATGTCATTTACAATTGGATAAACAGACCTTGGTTTGACGAGCTTTATGAAGTCAGTGAGCTCATCAAATGAGCAGTGATCAGAATATGGCACAATGAACACATTATCCTGGTTACAGAAAGGATTCATCTCTAACCCTGTATAGAGGGAGGTAGGAAGAATAGCTATTGCAAACTGTTCTTTGTTCCACCTCTCAATAATTTTGTTGGAAATGGAGAAAAAGAGAACAACTTCAATTCTTGCATCTGCTTCTACTGTAATAAAACATCTGGAAGATCTAGGATTTCTACAACCTGAAAGAAGGCAGGACTGACTTTGATCCACTCCTGAAGATTCTGAGCAATGGCTACTAAAAGGTCTTCCTTTGCTAAGTTTCTCAGTCAAATCTTTACACTGAATTCTTCATGGCTATGAATAATTCTCTGGAAACACACATTTTTAGCTGTCTCCATTTTTACTGTACCCGGTATTGTTTTACATAAAGACCCAGGAATGAGATCTTCTTCCCTGGCAAATTCAGGTATGTTACCATAGCAACTGAACAACATGATTTTGTACTTTAAATTATGACTTCTAAATTTGTTTTATAGTAATTTTCCTTCTTCATTTTTGTCATGAATTTCTTTCTAGGGAAAATTCGTCGACAGAGTATGTTGTTTTAAGCTGGAAAGAGTTAGTGAAAAACCAGACAGTAGCAGCGGTGTCGTCATGGAGACAGTCATGTGATCACCTTGTGATAAAATACTTAGCTGTTTATTGTTGTGACCTTGTCAGTGTGATAAAGATCACCATAGTAACCAATAACCCTGTGGTCATATGATGACATATTTACCCAGAAACACCTATACTGTAGAATGAATGGCACTGAGTAAGGAGAGATCTGATTGGTCAACTTTTACCCAATCAGTTTGGCTTTTTAAAAAGGGAATATGGAATCAAGATCTAGAATTCAGCACAGCATATCACGGATATTACTTAGCAACAGGAATAGTAGTCTGATTCCTGTATAGAGGTCTCACATCTCGTAGATTTAGATTTTTATGGACGATTCACTCATACAATGCTTCACAGTTTTGTGACTTATGTATAAAGTATGTCTAAAGAAGCAGGTTTTTCATTTTATTTTTCCATCATCTGAAAATGGACCATACCTCATTCTGTGTATCAACCTCAGCGGAATTCTGAAGTCAGGATTTGTATTGATGTCAGACCAAGTGATTGTTCTTTGAGGCTATATTCTTATATTTAATTCATTTAATACTCCATGCAGATAAATTCTGATATTACCCCTTATTACAATGTCTCTGATAAAAAGAAAAAAAAAAGTTGGTTACCTCTAGTGCTCTAAACTGTAAGAAAGAGAGTAACAAAAGGATTTTTAATTTTTATTTCTGTGCATGATGTCTCTTTGAGGAATTTTAAATATTTATATTCAGATTTTTGTTACAGAAGACTTATTTTTGAAGTTGACTGTTAATGGTATTGTGTGTATAATGATTTTTTATGGTACATATCTTTGATTGTGATTTGGTCCTATGAAAAGGGCCACATCAGTGTGCTTGAAGGTTGATATACATGTATCTGATGATGTGTTATTTGCTAACAATCTGCTAACAAACCGTAAGAAAAGTCAGGTCTGAAAGTTAAATTTAATAGAATGCTAGTTCCATTCTGATAATATGATTAATCATGATATTATATGAAACTAGTGAGAAAAATTAATTAAAATATAAAAATCTATAAAAATATAATTAAAAAAATTAATACGATGGTGTTTGATACAAGAAAAAAATCTTTTGAGGAATCTCTTGTGTTTGTTGATAAAATTCAGGGTAAGGGAAAAAGTGTTCATTTATAAATGCAACTATAAAATTAAAAATACGAGTTAGAAAAATGTATACTGATTGTAACCTGACTTAGGAGAGGGCTAAATTAGGCTGTGCCTAGATGTTGCCCAATATCCTATTCCCTTGATTCCTGATTATATTTTGGCATTGTACAGTAATAAAATAAAAATAAGTTTCAACAGCAATATTTATTTATTAGTATAAATAGTCAAAATTCATGACTATACTAGGAATTAAGAATAATTTTCTTGCACAAGGGTGTCCATATTCTTGTAACATGTCTCATGGCATATTTTTTCTTGCAGTCAAAAGGAAGACTTTTATAAGAAGCACAATGTATTTGCATGTCACATCAATATCAGTTATACTTATGTGTTGATTTTGTACAATATGGACTGATTCGCCTGTCATGACATTTTTTTGTTATAAAAATAATGACATCATCAGTTGATGCATACTCACATCATCATTTCATGTGTACATTTTTTTTCTCTGGTGCCTATACATGTGCATTCATTTGTCAGTGCCATTTTTGTAACAAAGAATCAGGTTGATTTTGTAAAAGCATTTAGTTAACATATATTTTATTAGGATATCTATATGCATTAAAATTACTCAGCCTGAAGAGAAATCTGTGTTTGTTTTGTTTATGGCAATCTATATAACAACACACTGTCTAAATGCAGTCAAGCTTTGTTGTTATATCAAATTCAGCGGGTTTGAGGGGAAAAAAAAGATGTCCAGGGATTTGCGATATTGAGGGTAATAGTTGTTGGTTTTTAAAATCAGTTAAATGTATCATAGTATTCAAGAAAACGTCAACTGTCACAGTATTACAGATGCAGAGATTTGTTAAATGTAGTGCCACAAATGGAAATACATATGTAAGCATCCGTATTTTATTACCATGGATTAAAGATTTTATATGAAAACATATGGTCAACAGAGATCGCTATTTATATGGATCTGCATTGATTACCAAAATCTAGAACATGTATTTCACTTATCATCAAGTGCAATTTGAATCAAAGGACTTCAAAAGATGACTGATGCCAATCAAACATAATTTGCATATTTTTTAAATAAATAATTTGATCATGTATTAAAAACTATAAATTATCTTGAAGTTCTATTTATTAGCAGCACTGATTTTCACATTATATAGAGCTATTCAAGTCCATCTCTGTATATTTCTATGCACAAACTTTACACCTTGCACTCCTGATAGATAAATAAAATAAATTAAACAAAACCTCATAGAAACACTTTATTTATCATACATATATATCTCTTTAATTTGTTTTTATCTAAAAGAGTTGAAAATGTTAATAATTTTTAAGAAATAAGTTTAAGAAAAATATGCTTATATTCATATTTATTTTTATTCAGTATATAGAAAACTGAATTAAAATATAATTGTTAATTAAAAAATACATAAACACATCGTTGTTATATCTTTAAATGTTGAGTTCAAGTATTTTAAAAGCAATTCAAGTAAAATGTAATTTATGCCAATTGGAGTTATTGTGTGCGGATGTGACTTCGAATCTCTAAATAATTATTCTCCTTGATCGTGACACATATCGGGGGTGGAAAACTAAAACCGATGAACGCCATTGTAAAATAACGTAAAACATTGAATATTTAACTTCTCATTTAATTATTTTTTTTTCGATTATAAGTATATTCAAAATTCAAGATATTGCGTGTGTGTGTATCTTTAAGTTTATAAATAAAGTTCATTCACAATACATTTGTGTTTTATTACTACCGATGAGTAAAGGATGAGATAAATGCTATATATCAATATATTTACATTTCCAATGTCTTTTGACCAATTGTATTAATTGATTTCCTCATGAATGTTTTGGCGCGGTTCCAAAAAAAAAAACCACGTTTAGGGCGGGACAACATAGGGAGAAGCAGGCTTCGTGGATTGGCGGAATAAAGCATCACTCAACTTATTTGGATAATTTTATGGACTTATATTACCAAAAGATTGTTTCAATTCGAAAAATACTTAAATGAAAAAATCATCCGAATAACCGGGCTGAAATGAATTAGGTTTGCCAACACTAATGAAAACATATGGTCAAATTCAACAGAGATCGCTTTTTATATGGATTTGCATTGATTACTAAAATCTAGAACATGTATTTCATTTATCATCAAGTGGAATTTGAATCAAAGGACTTCAAAAGATGACTGATGCCAATCAAACATAATTTGCTGATATGTATCAATGAGAGCTATTCAACTGCCGCATAAACTTTACACCTTGCACTCCTGTGACCTTGACCTCCCTTCTCTTTAATTTGTTTTTGCTTAGTTTAAAGAAAAATTTAGAATATGCACTCATATATAACTATTGTTAATTAACAATACATCATCGTTGTTATATCTAAATGTTGAGTTCAAGGCCACAAGTGTTTTCCTCTTTACGTGTATAAGATTTTGTAAACTAAACGAGGTGTCATATTGACCAAATATTTTGGTCTGGTGCCCCTTGACATCTCAGTCCAGCATCACTCAAACTTATTTGGGTTTTCTTGGCCCGACTTTAACCAATTGTTTCAATCAATACGGGCTGAAATGAATTAGGTGTCTGCTTCAACTTTTTTCTCCTTTAGACATATTTTTAAGTCTATAATTACTATTTAGCTTTCGTTTCTTACCTTTAAAAGGTTTAAACTAAAAACAAACATGAAATTATTGATTTTTCATAGAAATATTTTATTCCTTTAAACCTCCGATGCTGAAGAGTTCCAGCAATAGTCTGCTTCAATTACTTTGTACTACTACTATTTCTTACAAAAATGAGCCATAGTACGAAGTATTTGAAGCAGACTATTGCTGGAACTCTTCAGCTTATTCATATCAGTTCGTATTGATTGAAACTAGTAGTCGAAGCCATCAGTTTGTGTGAGACTTGACTGAGATGTCAAGGGATATCAGACAAAAATTTTTAGTCCCTACAAAATCTCCCTGCGATTAAAGATTCTGGACAAATTCTGCTTCATATGAAAACAAAAATAGTTCAGCTGATAATGGGGCGCAATTGGTACCCATGGGGATTCCAATAGATTGTCAAAAGACCTCCTCTCCAAAAAAAAACACATTGATATTGTCAATCAGAAACTCAAGCATCTTTTTGATGTCAGCTTCAGAGAACTTGTATGTACAATCAGAATGTTTTGAATAAAATAATTTTCCAAATGACTGATGACAAGGTAAGTATATTAACAAGTTACATTTTTATTGAAAGCAGCTGTCAATGATATCAAAAAGCATTGACTTTAATTAATTTATCGTGGGAGTGGTTTCGTATAAAGCTGGAAAGTAATTACAAGACTTGATATAAAAGAACACCAAAGAGTCTGCCACAACAGCTGAACAGCAGCAGCACAACGGCTTTCATTAATTTTGTTTAAAGCCAATTTCAGTTAGCTGTTAAAATAATATAACCAATAACTTGGTTGTATTTTGTTTTACATATTTCATGCCAATTTTAATGCCTTTCTTTTTATGCTAAAGAAATTCAACTACGAGTATTTCTTCTGCCTGATCAATACATGAGACACACGATGGGTGAGGCCGGTGTACTGGATATTTAATCCTCCAGGGCACCTGATTCCTCCGTTGAACTTTCCACGAGTCCATTTTATATCCAGTTCACTTTGTATAATATTGGTTTTTTTTGTTAATACCGTTTTACATCCAATTCACAGATTTGTATAACAGTGAATTTTTTTTTCTAGATAATAAATCATCTTTCGTTATCGTTACTTTTTTTTCGTTATGAAAGACTTAGTGTACAAAAAGCAAGTTGGACTCCTTTAATTCATAGGCACCTAAGGCATTTGTTGGTTATTGATCTTGTATTTCGTTAGGTTGGCATAGGGAATTATTTTGTATCTTGGCCATAAAATGTATCCACTGGCAATTATAAGAGATGATATTTGAAAATACTAAAATAGTTATAAATGTAAACTGACATCCGATTGCAGTGACGTAGCATCGTTTTTGAAATAAAAGAGGGGGGGGGGGGCAGCCAGAGAAAGAAATCAACTTAGGGCAATTCCTAATTAAGCTTGGACATCCAGTGAGGTATCGCATTCCCTACATTACATTATTAGCTTCTGAAAGAATTTTACTCTCCCAAATATTTGATTTATAACAAAAATCAACTTCTTTTATACTTTTTATTTGATGATAATAATTGTCTTAAATATTACAAAATTTGCTATAATTACATTCAAATTAAAAGCATATTATTAATATATACCATCTATTTACCATGCCTTAACATTAAACTTAAGTAAGATTTTTTTTTATAATAGAATTGGCAATTAATCCCATTAAATTTATATGAAAATGAGCAGATCAAAAAATTATTTCAATATTTTATCCTTATTATAACAATGAAACATCCTTTCATAAAAAATCAAATTGCTCTGAAAATGTCTTCAAGTTGATATTTATCATGTTTATAAAGTCTACATTTTCCCTTCCAATCTCATCTTCTGACAACTCAAAGAAAAATTATGACTTTTTTTACAATGAAATTTTTACCTACATATATTTCAAATTATTTACAAAATTAGACCAATAATGACCACCTTTTTACAAGCATACATGTATACATATACATGTATCTCTATTTAAGGTATTTAATTTTCTTAACCTTTCCTCCAAATTCAGCAACAAACAAATAATTTTTATTCACACATAATCCAAATGGACCCTTGAGATCACAGTTATCTATATAACGGAGGAACTGTCCGTCCTGGTCTAGGATGTGGATACAGTGGTTATCAGTGTCTGCTGTCAGGATCTGACTCTGACTGTCTGTTGTGATGCCAAAGGGTAAAAATAGTTTCTTCTGTATAGTAGAAAGATGACCAGTATATCTAAATCGGAGTTTTCCAGCTTGGTTGACAACTACAACAGCAGCAGCTCCACTGTCAGCCACACATATATCCAGGTTTCTGTTCTCACTTATGTACTTCATTTTGTAATTTTCTGAATACAGAGGTTTACCCTCCTCATCAAACTGGATTGTTTGTTTCTCTGTGGAGCCCGAGTAACGGACAACCTTGGATTGTGTTTTATCATCACTGAACATGGTGACCAGGAGGTCCCCAGAGGAAGTGACACAGAGTTTGTTAGGTATCCAGTCCTGTAGTCTGATTATCCTCTCTGTCTTTCCATTTGTAATCTTATTAACAGTCCCTTTCTTCCCATCACAGTACACTAGATCTCCATCCCCTGTCACAGCTATATCATTTGGAAATCCCCCTGATTCTTTTGTTATTGTCTTGATATGTGAGCCTTGAATGTTAAAGCATTTCATATCACTGACTATTCCACATGTCCAGATTTCTTCTTCACTGAGACAGGTAACATTGCAGAGTTCTTCATACCCAGTTTCTATAGTAGTGATAAGTTCTGGTTCTTCTAATAGTTCTCTGTTTAATGTTTCTGGTTTCTTCAGTTTGTAGCCATTTTCTTCTGTTGTAGTAGATAATGGTGTAAGAGATCCAAACAACTTGTACAGCTGTTCTCTATCTACTGGTTTAGCATTAAAAATGGGCAGTGATACGTTAACTTTGGGAGGAAGTTTGCTGAATTCTTTGTTTCTGGAGCTGTATTCCAAGGTCATGGACACTTCATTTGATTCTTCTATTTCCTTCAGGTTGAGCAGAGTTTGTTCAATAAGAGTCTGTATTTGTTTCACTTCTTCTGCATGTTTCTTCATAATGTCAAAGTGTTTTACTTTAAAATCATCAATTTCTTTTTTCATGGCATTGATGACATTGTCAATTTCTCTGTGCCATTGCTTTCCATTTTCTGTCACTGCTGTTGTAAGTTTCTCATATTCTCCATCCAAGTTAGTCATCTGTGTTTCTAGATCGTTTGTGATTTCTTTGTATGTAGGATAAATAATGTTTTGTAATTCTTCTGTATCTTTTGCGATATCTTTTTTCTTGGAATTGTATATTTCTGCGAGGATCAATAAATTGTGTCCTTTATGCTGTTCTGATGCAGAGCATAAGGAGCAAACAGGAAAGTTACATTCCTTGCATTGTAAATCACATGATTTGAATGAATGTGTTGCACACTTTGGATAGATCAAGGTGGATTTTCTATGTTGAAATGGGACAATTTTATGTTTGTCATATTCATCAGCAATGTGTTCTCCAATACAGGGTTTACAAAGGTTGACATGACAGAAATCACAGTACATCTGTACAATAGCTGTCTCACAAAGATCACATCTGATCACATCCTGGGCACTGAGGCGGGGATCCATACTTTCTGTATATGTTCTATAAATATAAAGAATTGTTTTGTCTTTAAAATTAATTCTGCATTTTTATGAGTTAATAATTATTTGGACTGGTCAATGATTATACGCATGAATATTACTTCCTTGTATTTAACTGTATAATAAAGGCACATATGCATGTAATATGGTATTTAGAAATACAAATTGTTTATATTGGAATCTATTTTTAACAACTTAAAATTGCATATTTACAGACTTAACTAATTCAAGTTTCAATTTTAGGGTAAATTGAAAATGACCTTTTCAAAAAAAATCATGAAAATATACAAACCGAAAGTACATTTGCAAGAATAATTTCTTTAATGAAATTCTAAATATAATTACCGTTGTACTCACTTAGAAAACTTGTCTCACATTGCAATTGGTAGAATAGCAGAAGTCATTCGTCAGTTCTTTTTTCATCACGTCTTCATGGTATCCGCCCAAACCTGTCTTCTCCACAGTTCAGGATTTCTGATCGCCCTGAAATTAGAGTTATCGCTCTTGCAGCGATTATAAGGTTACTAGAGGTACTGTGAGCGATGAGCTCACTAAATGATACCCCCCGCCTCCCCTATGGTTATAAGTGGTGAAAAAGTCCATGTTTTCCTGTGGCCGGGAAACCCAAAATATGTGTCGGATCAAAAAGTAGAATAGGAGGTGCACAATGGCAATATGTAATAAAGATTCTGTGAAAGTTTCATCAAATTTCATTCAGTGGTATGAGAGGAGTTACGGATAAGAGATGGGTACCCCAAAGCGTAACAGACGGACGGACAGACAGACAGACAGACGGACGGACGGACGGACGTACAGACGGACGGACGGACGGACGGACGGAATTAACGATTACTATATACCCTCCCGCTTTTCAAGCGGGGGGTATAAAAAGAACTTTTATCACCCCCCCCCCTTTTTTTAACCTTAAGCGAAATGCCTTTGGTTGACACGGTTCAATGTCTGAAGATCATCAAATTCACGCTCCTTAACTTTAACCATTACAAAAATCTATGATAATCTTTAATTTTGTGTGGTTACACTACAGTATAAGTCTAATCTCTCTGATTGGCTCGTCTAGCAAAATTCATTACGTTGTGAAAAAAAATATAATAATTAATTACCTTCAAGTGCGTTAAGAGTGTACATCATACTATGGAATGCCATGTACGACAGCCAACTGCTTACTGCCAACTGCTAACTGCTTACTGCCAACTGTCAGCTGCTTACTGCCAACTGCCATACATATTTGAATAAATTTTCATATTTTCGTTGATATTTATGTAATTTGTAAAAAAATAAATAAATAAAAATTTTTAAAAAAATGGATCCAGGATTTTTTCCAGGAGTGATCCACCCCAGTAAAAATAAATCGAACTCAGAAATTTCTTGACAAGAAAAATAACGTAAACTCCTTTCGTAAACGTGAAAAATTACTTTGGTGGTGTGGGTGGGTTATGCTCCATATCTTCATATCTATGACTTTTCATACAAATTATCTTAATACAGATCCGCGTTTTTTTTTTTTTTTTTTTGGGGGGGGGGGGGGGGTCTTCCAAAGTCAGTTTTCAGTACTAATTCTAAAAACCATTGACAAAAAGTTAATTGCTCTTATGTATAACTCCTTTGATAAGGGGTAGATTTTATCAATTGAAATCAGACTGAATATATCATCAAATCTTCAATTACTAATGAAAATGGATAAATGACTCCTTAATCTCATCGTATGTTTTAATTAATGTAAAATTCAACATATGAGATTGATAAAGTATATTATTTTTTATTTGTTATCTTATAAAATGACTATTTTCCTGTTTTTGATCCCCCCTACACGAGACAACAAAATCTTTGGAAAGAATAAAAACTGAAAAAAAAGGCTTTGTTGTTGAATCACAGAAGAGTTATTTTAAAAATAAATTACACTTTTCCGTTAATTCTGAACCTTTGGACATTTTTCTCAAAGATTTATATTTCTTTGTTTTTACAAAAATAAGTTATGTTTTTTATATGCACAGTGGGGGGGGGGGGGGGGGGGCGGACCATCCCTTTGAAAATTATAAAGGTATTTAATGTACAAACTAAACCAACTGAAATTTACATGATGCATAAATCAAAAGGGACCTTGCCCCCCCCCCCGAAAAAAAAACAAAACAAAAAAAAAGAACGCGGATCCGTGTTTAATTGAAAAATCTCACAGACTTAAAGCATGAGACTCCCCCTCCCCTGCCAAAATAATTTTTCACATTTAGGAATTTAACTGAGTTTACTTTTTTTCTTGTCAAGAAATTTCTGGGTTGTTTTTTTTTTTCTATCCGGGTGTCCCTCTTGGAAAAAAAAATCCTGGATCCGCATCTGTGTTTTGAAAATACACATGAATATATCAAAATAAATATGAAAATTTATTCAAATTTGTCTGGCAGTTGGCAGTAAGCAGCTGACAGTTGGCAGTAAGCAGTTAGCAGTTGGCAGTAAGCAGTTGGCTGTCGTATATGAGTCATTTTCAAAATTTGTCCAAATTCTAACACCAGTATTTTGCAAAAATAAATGTGGCAATCTAAACTTTTTAAAGTTTTATTTTAGCATTCAAACATCATAGATGCATAAACAATGTTAAAGCACAAAGAATTCTATTAACATATACTAAAAAAAACATTATATGTACATGGACCCAACAATAAATGTCCATGGTGTTACTTAGTTAAAAGTCATAGTAAAATCATAATTAAAAAAAAATTAAGGTTTTTAGAATAACAATCTCAACATAGTGATAAAATTATTCTATTGAATCAAACTGAAGTTTCATAACAGAAAATTATCAGATAAAGTATAGCTGGAAGTTGTAAGTGTTGTAACTTTTGTATATATCTTACACGTTTACTTAAGGCATACATCATTTACCTCAGCACAAAATACTTGCTTTGCAAATAAACTTAGTATTAGAAAACGACAGTATTGTGTTGCAAGTTTCGATAAAATTGTATAAAGATTTAGAACATAAATATAGGAAAAATGTGTTGGTAACACCAAGGATATTTGCATAACACAAAGAACATAAAGGTTACACTTAGGATATTTTGTGTAATACTTTGAAAGAAATAATAAAGTTGTTCTCCTTCCTTCCGAAAAGGATAGTAATGAAATTACCCTAGAGGTGAATATTATTATATAGTCTATTTATAGTCCCTATATAATCTATACAAACGCAAACAGTTCATAACACTACATATTCACCGGATTTTAGGCCATATTCACCGGAGGGTCAATGCGCGTGCAACGGCATTGTGACGTCACACTCAGAACATCGAACAACGTTGTAAACAATACGGAACTTCCGAGATATGTAGTTACGGTCGTTTTTGGTTCAGTAATTAGAATCTCTGTCACGTGATAATGCACAAATTGTTAGGCAAGAAGGCGAGAAAGTGAAAGTTAGCAGACGCGCGCTAATGCGATTTGAATGGGAAAAGAACGGACGCAGACAAAGAAATCAGCGGATGAACCCAGTTCATATTGGTGCTCTGTACCTGGTTGTACTGCCGATGGTCGGAAGAAAGCCAATTTAGCTGCCTATCCATGGATGAAAGGTGTTACATTTCATGCCTACCCGGGACCGCATCGCAATCCTTCGCTGCGACGCAGGTAGGTTGAATATGTAATTATATATTGTTTGTTTATGTGTTATTTCTAATCAGTAAACGTTTTAATTCACTGTTGACGACCAAACAATGCACCGCAGGCACCTGATTTTTTTACGTAAATTGCAATAAAAGCCCTGCATGAACTATTAAAAAAACACACTACTCATACACACACACAAAACTTCCCTGATATTGGTTATAGTATGTACATACATGAGTATGCGTTTTTATATATTGAGGAGTAAGTTTTTATTGAGGTCATTACTTAATGCAATTTATTGTTGAAAATTCATGTGTCTGTAAACATAGAGACCCTTGAAGTTGAATATACATGCACTCTAATATTTTTAAAAGAACTTCCACATGCGGTGACATGGTACATGTATTGTACTTGTACATGTATTTACTTGGTGTATAAATCTTGTGACTCATATTAAACAGAATAAGAATCTGAATGTAGTGTTTAATAGTTGTTTAGAAAATAATTGTTTACAGTGCATGTTCAAAACAAAAGTAACATAATTAATTGAATTGGTTTTTTGATGTAGTAAACATTAAAATCAAAACATATGTAGTTTTTTTCCTTTTCGGCAGGTGGCTCAATCAGATTTTTCGGGAAGAAAAATATGATCCTGGAAGGCATCACAGAGTGTGTTCCTTACATTTCGTTGATGGCTGTCTATCGGAACAGCATCCAGTACCTACCTTGTTTCCTCGAAATAACTTTGGAGAAGGCCCACCTTTGAAGAGAAGCAGGAAATCCATTGACAAAAGGGAGATTCTAAAGGATCTCAACAATAATACTGCAGATTGCCAACCTCAGGTTTCAACAATGGTGTGTAGTAATCTACTCTATGTACATAATAAGTACTAGATTTATTTAGGAAGTACATGTACATAATTCACATTTTCAACCTACATGTATATAGACCATGAAATTTGCAGATTAGATTTTTATTTGATATAGAGTATTCGTGTCATCTTTTAACATTAATATTTTCTCTGAGTATATTTCTTTGTTGATTTTTTTTCAGAGTGTCACTGTACTTCATGATGGAAGTGTAATCCCTTTGCCCGTACATAGCGAGTGCACAATCAGTACCACCATAGTGAATGAAGAGAATGCAGAAGTGAAGCATGGGAAAAAAGCAACTAAAATCAAACAACGTATGGGCATTAATTTTGATGTCCTTTATGAATTTCCAAAATTTAGCTAATATATTATGGTAATACATGTAATGCATGCAGACCTGGGGTAATGGTAATGTGTAATGGTAATGCATTGTAATCATTACATTTTTTCAAAGTAATGGGGTGTAATGTGTAATGGATCCATCTTTCAATTACAAGTAATTGTAATGTAATGCATTACTTTAAAAAAAATGTCTGTAATGACCAATTACTTTTCAATTACATTTCAATTACATTTAATATATTAGTCTCTTTTTATTTTTTGAATCTGAAACAAATAAATATCACTGAGAAGTTTTTTTTTATTAATAATGTTAGAAACTTAAACTTAAAATTAAATTCCTATATCCTACAATATTTTTATATTATTAAATGGTAATTTATAGACAAACTAAATAATTCTTTTAATAGAAATCTTTTTGACAATTAAGACAATTGTAAAATAAATTGAAGAGAACCAAAGAAAAATATTAAAAGAAATCATCAGGTTTTAAAGAAAGATACAAAAAAGTGATATTAATACAGATATAGTGAGACTTACAGTTAAATTACGATACAAATTATATTTTTCTACTTTTTTTCCCTTTTCAATCTGGTAAAATGGACTTGGTAAACATGATACAAGATCAGTATGATTTATTGTAGACACAAAGAGAAACTAAGGCCAAATATATAAATATAGACTGATATATTTACCATCATTCATTTTATGGTAGCTTAAGGCCTCAAAATTTAAACCCTACTTCCAAGTACTTGTAATTATCACCTTTGGTTGTGTTTAATTTATGGCTTCATTGATTATACCTGTGAAGCTAATTAGAAGTGCTAATTAATTCATTAAGTTTTTAATACTCCTTATACATTTATAGCATTATCTGTAAATCAAATATTAGTTTACATAAAAATCTAGTAGGAAATGTTCAATAAATCATTTATTTAAAAAACAACAGAGAAACTAGCATCAGATATTGAACAAAACTACAATATTGAAAGTGTTCTGATCCACTTTCTTTGTGAACTGTAGATTGGATTGGTAAACTCACATGAACATGATACATGAATCCAAAATCCAAATACCGCTCTGATTTATAGATCTGAGGGAAAGCATATTATCGAGCAAAAAAGTGTGAAAGTTAATTTATAGGTATAAATTGTGTGGTGATACATTTTGTCTTTTTCTCCTATAAAATGTAATGTGTAATGTAATTAATTACTTTAGCAAAGTAATTGTAATTTAATTAATTACTTTTCTAAATGAGAGTAATGGTAATTGTAATTGTAATGATAAAAATTCCAAAGTAATTGTAATGTAATGCATTACATTTCAAAGTAATTGACCCCAAGTTACTCTGAGATTCTTGTTTTTATTGGATTAATGGTATTCTACATAAATAGTTTATGTACTTTTACAAATTTTAGAACTGCACACAGATCATGAATACAGTATTGCACACAGAAAGTACCCAGAGTACAGTAATGCAGAAGTCCAAACAGATCTTTCCGTACATGATATAAACATCATGGAGACAGAGAGTACCAGTTATTCCAAAGGGAATGTTTTGCGTGAATTGTTTTGCGTGAATTGTTTGTTCATAAAGCCACAAGCTCTGATGCATCAGTCAGAAGATATTTTGGGTTACCCAGTATTTCTATACTTTTTGGTCTATTCAGTAAGTATTTATTGCAATAAAATTCATTTAAAATTTGCGTGTAAATACAATAAATTTTCAAGTGTTGATGAAAGTAATAACAAAACAATTTCTTCCAGGATTTAGTGATAATTTACATTATGAACAGTAACCATAATAAAAGGCTGCATTGTTTTTTTATAGGCATACTTGAAAATGCATGCAAGAAACTCAAATATTGGTCTGGCAAAGATAGAATTGATGAAAAGCGCTATGAAGAGGGCAATGCTAGAAAACCTGGTCCTGAGAGAAAGCTCACAATGTTCCACGAGTACCTTCTTACGCTACTTAGAATTCGTCAGGATTTAAACATAGGTATTCTTAAGGATATTTTTGGAATATCGGAGAGTCGTGTGTCCCAAATCTTCAATACTTGGATAAACTACATGTATCGAGTGTTTGCTCCTCAGATTAAATGGCCATCCATGCAGAAAATACGGAAATTTATGCCTAGGTCATTTAAAGCATCATTTCCTAATACTCGTGTAATTATCGACTGTACTGAGGTATTCATCCAGAAACCTAGAAGTCCAACAGCTCAAAGCCAGACATACAGTAACTATAAGAATCATAATACTTTTAAAGCACTAGTGGGCATAACTCCATCTGGAGCATTTTCCTTTATATCCGAATTTTGGGGAGGAAATGTATCCGATAGATTTATAACAGCAAATAGTGGTTTTCTTGATAAAATTTCACCAGGTGACGAGGTGATGGCAAATCGTGGATTTGTTATAAGAGATTACTTGCTGGAACGGAGAGCAAAATTAGTGATTCCACCATTCACTCAGAAATGTGCTTGGGGCAAGGGCAAGACACTATCACCTACACAAATCAGACAAACAAGACAAATTGCAAGACTTCGCATTCATGTTGAAAGAGCCATTCAACGACTATAAAGACCTATCGAATTTTATCGGGTATAATGCCTTTAACCTTGAAACCAATCGCAGATCAAATTTTGGTTGTAGCTGCTTTTCTGTGCAACATTGATTCTCCACTTGTTAAAAAGTAAAAAAATAAAAAATGTGCATTTTCCATTCATAATTTTACAAGAGAACCAACTTTTTTCCTTGCATTTACCTTGTTAACTTGGATAATTGCTATTGATTTAAAATACATTCTTTGACTGCTGATAATTTCTTGAATACATATTCTAATGTAGTGTACAATGTTTTCATAATACATTCCTTTACAAAAATGTTGATGCAAGTTTACATGTATATGACATAAAACTATATATTAACAATTTTTCTTACATCTGATATTATTAAAGATGGAAAAGAAAGCCAATCAAAATACAAAAAGTTATTGTAACATATTTATATTCATTTCTGTTAAAGCAAGTTATTTTTGATGTGGATATGTAAAAAAGCATCAGAATGTGGAGTTGTAAAAGGCATCAGAGTGAAAAAATATCAATCATGTTATGTATGCATTCTCACTTCAAATCATGTTATGCTGTCTTGCTATATCTGAAAATATGGTGAACAATAAATATAAATAATAACAAGCTATTAATTTGTTTTTAAAATTTATAGATTATCAGAATGTATACAGGATTATTGTTAAAGCACAAGATGAAAATTCAATGTATTGATGCTGTAAAACTCAATTATAATGAACTCTCTTGTTGTTAATATCAAAGAATCCTGAAAAAAAATTGGCATCTGCACTATGAACACTTGATGAAGAGAGTAAAAATTGAAGTCTCTATGACCTAGTACATTTAACCTCATTTTACTGAATTTGATATAAAAACTTTTTTGATTTTCCTCACAAGTATCGGAGAAAATGTAATATAAAAAATTGAATACAAACCATACAGAATTAAGCTGTCTTGTGTATTTGAATAATCAATGCTCTAAAGAAAAATCAATACAACTTTTACAGTGAAAAAAATACTGAAATATCATGTCAATGATGCACAGATTTGTTCGTCCTGTATGCGTTTTTATTTCACTGTGATTTCACTGTGATAGCAAAGCATTACAAAGGTACTTTTCAAAGAAAAGTGTACACTTTTGTACAATAGAATTAAAAACGTCACAATCAAAATAAATCCTGTCAGTAAGTAATCCTCGTTTGGTATAAAAAACAAAATCGCACCATGGAAGGGAAAGAATACCTAATTGTCCCTGAATCTGGATATACCATGGTGAGTCGGGGCGAAGATATACACTACCATTGCTTTCATCTCTGTATAAATGGTATGAAGAGTCACCTGCAATATCGTATGGCGTTTCATTTTGATGAGAATAAGAACATTTTATTTCTATAAGTCCTTTACCACAACATTTACACATTATTAAACCATCTGGAGTTGCTCCCATGTACGGTTTTTCGGTGAAAATGTGAAATCCAATGTTATTCAATTTTGCACACTTATGTCCTTTCTTGTATTCATCGAAGTACAACTGTCTAGCCACAGCTTCATTCTCTCTTCCATATGCAACTGCTGGAACATTTGATATGTCACTCCCCAGTTGCATTATTTCTCGTACAATGTAATTTTCATGAGATTTTGATCCTCGAAAATGCAACACTTTTGAGAAAACGGATGCAGTTATACGTCCATGTCTGTGTCTTTTCCATTCATCACATATACCTGTACTCTGATCCTTGGTTATATCTGCTATTCTCAAGATGGTTTCTGGATCAAATAAAGCTTGTAAATGTGAAGTTACAGAAATATTCTTTAGACTTGCCTCTTTGACTACTTCATGTAATCCTGGAATATCCTCACTAGTATCTTCATAATCAGATGGTGGGTCAAGTGTTTCTAGTAAAAGTGAATTAGAGTCCTTGCACATATCAAATAATTTTTTTTCAATCTCACGTTCATTCTGGAGACCTTTACAAGGGTTGTATACAGTATGACAAGGGCCGTGTTGAACATTTTCAGCTGCCGAATTGGAGTTGTGAACCTGTACATTCTGAATTTTTTCAGGTCGTGAAGCAGAGCGTGGTTTATCCCATGAGCATAAGACATCAGTTCTGACTAGTGTGTGTCTGTCTTTGTGTCTTTCATTGAATGAACAAAGGGAAAAAAGAAGTGCTGTACAGTGTTTGCACGAACCATCATTTCTGTAATTAATAAAATAAGGATATAATTTTTACATCTATCAATATCAAGGAAATGAATATATTTCAGGAATTCAAATAATCTTCTACAGTTTAGTATTCAAGTGACCTTTTCTTTAAAATATAAATGATTCTTACGCAACACACGAACATCCACCTGACTGTATTTGTCCACCCTCACTGACGAGAATCCATGTCTGGTAAGGCGCTGCTTGTTGCCTGGTCTCTGGGACAGTCTGACACTTAATATAGAAGCATGCTACATTTTCAAAATAATGAAGTTTGACATTGTCAACATGTGAACTGGTATACAGTTTGTAGCCATTGTCCTGTTTGTACAGTTTTAAACGTGGGGGGTCCCATCCTACACGGAGAAGCCACACCATAACATCTCCTATCTCTATGTCAGGTAATGTTTTCAAATCTGATGACCATTCATCGGCAGTAATATCCTTAATGTGTGGTAACACAACTTTATTTACTGTTCGGCGTTGCACGTCGAAAGCACCAAAGTCATTATTGTTTACCTCTAGATTTCTAAATTGATTTCTACCGCCAATTTACATAGTTTAATAGAGTGTGACTAAAATGGGTAGCGAAACCCGGGCCGGGCCTGGAATTTCAAAACTGATAGCCGGGTTTTTGATAATTACGAGATAAATACTCATTCTTTCTTCACAAAATTTACAGACATAGTTTATAACTATAGGTTTTGCCATAATATGAATACATTTTTATATCTCGTAACCAGCCTCTATAACCAGGCAGAGCGCATGCGCGCAACAAATTTACATCGAGTTCGGAAAACAGCAGAGAGGAAATTCGGAATATATAACGAAAACTAGTAGTGCTATTCTCAGTTGCAGTAATTTATGCATAATTCAATAAAATTTTATTTAAAAACCCGAAGAATTAATAAGTCGACAGTGCAATTAGTTTTTATTTGTTTATTTAATCTTTTATTCATTTATTTATTTATTTATTTATTTATTTATTTATTTATTTATTTATTTATTTATTTATTTATTATCTATTTATTTATTTATTTATTTATTTATTTATTTATTTTAATTGTAATAATTATTAATAAACTAAGTAACTTATTTATTCATTAAGATTTATTTGTCTGTTTATTTATGAATACATTCTTTTCTTCATTAATTAATAATTCTAATGAGTAATCAATTCTTCTATTTATTTATTAATCATTAATTCTTTTATTTAATTAATAAATTTATAGATTACTTTATTATTTATGTTTTAATTCATTTATATTTTAATTTGTTTGTTTATTTGTTTACGTACTTTATATTTTTCGTCATTGTTTATTTATTTATTGGTGTTTTTCTTTATCTACTGGTTCATTTATTCTTTCTGATAATTAAGTAAATGTTTGATTTACTAATAAATAATTTATTTTATTAATTTATTATATTTATTTCTTTTTATTATTATCTTTTAAACTTAATCAACTAATTAATTAATCTATTTTTTATTTATTCTTGAAAGTCTGCATTATTTCATTTTCTTTCTCTTCTTTAACTCTTTCTTTCTCTCTCTCTCTTTCTTTCTTTCTTTGTATACCCTCACTTTTCTCTATATAACATTTTACTAATGGGTCTTTATTTTTTATCACCATCTTTTATATTATCTAATCATCCAGGGTCTTTATTTACCCATTTTCTCTCTCTCTCTCTCTCTCTCTCTCTCTCTTTATATACCCATCACCAGTATCTGCTAGGGTCTATATACCCATCACCAGGGTCTGTAATACCTATCACCAGGGTCTGTAATACCTATCACCAGGGTCTATATACCCATCAACAGGGTCTGTATACCTATCACCAGGGTCTATATACCCATCACCAGGGTCTATATACCCATCACCAGGGTCTGTATACCCATCACCAGGGTCTGTATACCCATCACCAGGGTCCATATTATCTATCACCAGGGTTTATATACCCATCACCAGGATCTGTATACCCATCACCAGGATCTGTATACCTATCACCAGGGTCTATATACCCATCACCAGGGTCTATATTCACATCACCAGGGTTCATATTATTTATCACCAGGGTCTATATACCCATCACCAGGGTCTATACACCCATCACAAGGGTCTGTATACCCATCACCAGGATCTGTATACCCATCACCAGGGTATACCCATCACCAGGGTCCATATTATTTATCACCAGGGTTTATATATACCCATCACCAGGGTCTCACCAGGGTCTGTATACCCATCACCAGGGTCTGTCACCAGGGTTTATATACCCATCACCAGGGTCTTTATACCCATCACCAGGGTTTACATACCCATCACCAGGGTCTTTATTATCTATCACCAGGGTCTGTATACCCATCACCAGGGTCTATATACCCATCACCAGGGTCTGTATATCCATCACCAGGGTCTGTATACCCATCACAAGAGTCTATATACCCATCACCAGGGTCCATATAATCTATCACCAGGGTTTATATACCCATCACCAGGGTCTATATACCCATCACCAGGGTCTTTATACCCATCACCAGGGTCTATATACCCATCACCAGGGTCTATATTATCTATCACCAGGGTCTGTATACACATCACCAGGGTCTATATACCCATCACCAGGGTTTGTATACACATCACCAGGGTCTGTATACCCATCACCAGGGTTTATATACCCATCACCAGGGTCTGTATACCCATCACCAGGGTCTATATACCCATCACAAGGGTTTGTATACCCATCACCAGGGTCTGTATACCCATCACCAGGGTCTGTATTATGTATCACCAGGGTCTATATACCCATCACCAGGGTCTGTATACCCATCACCAGGGTCTATATACCCATCACCAGGGTCTGTATACCCATCACCAGGGTCTATATACCCATCACCAGGGTTTGTATACCCATCACCAGGGTCTATACACCCATCACCAGGGTTTATATACCCATCACCAGGGTCTGTATACCTATCACCAGGGTCTATATACCCATCACCAGGGTCTATATACCCATCACCAGGGTCTTTATACCCATCACCAGGGTCTGTATACCCATCACCAGGGTCTGAATACCCATCACCAGGGTCTGAATACACATCACCAGGGTCTATATACCCATCATCGGGGTTTGTATACTCATCACCAGGGTCTATATACCCATCACCAGGGTCGGTATACCCATCACCAGGGTCTGTATTCCAATCACCAGGGTCTATATATACCCATCACCAGGGTCTGTATACCCATCACCAGGGTCTATATTCACATCACCAGGGTCCATATTATCTATCACCAGGGTTTATATACCCATCACCAGGGTCTATATACCCATCACCAGGGTCTATATACCCATCACCATTTTCACCAGGGTCTATATACAAATCACCAGGGTCTGTATTATCCATCACCAGGGTCTGTATACCCATCACCAAGGTCTATATACCCATCACCAGGGTCTCTATTATCTATCACCAGGGTCTGTATACCCATCACCAGGGACTATATACCAATCACCAGGGTTTATATACCCATCACCAGGGTCTAAATTCCCATCACCAGGGTCTGTATACTCATCACCAGTGTCTATATACTCATCACCAGGGTCTGTATACCCATCACCAGGGTTTGTATACCCATCACCAGGGTCTGTATACCCATCACCAGGGTCTGTATACCCATCACCAGGGTCTGTATACCCATCACCAGGGTCTGTATACCCATCACCAGGGTCTATATACCCATCACCAGGGTCCATATTATCTATCACCAGGGTCTGTATACCCATCGCCAGGGTCTATATACCCATAACCAGGGTCTATATTATCTATCATCAGGGTTTATATACCCATCACCAGGGTCTGTATACCTATCACCAGGGTCTATATACCCATCACCAGGGTCTGTATACCCACGACCAGGGTTTTTATTCCTATCACCAGGGTTTGTATACCCATCTCCAGCGTCTGTATACCCATTTATCACTATGTATCATTCAGGGTCTTTATCACAAGGTCTTGTGTATAACTAATATTACGGTATCACCAAGGGTATGTGTATCATTAAAGGTCTTTGTACTACCACCAAAGGTGACTATCACCAACAGTCTCTGTATCAATAAGGGTTTATGTATCACCAAGGGTATATTTATTACCAAGGGTATGTGCATCATAAAGTGTCTGTCAATAACCAGGGGTCTATGTTTCAACAAGGGTTTCTATCACCAGGGGTACTGTATATGTATCACAAAGGGCCTATTTATCACCTAGGGTCTGTATCAACAATGGTAAATGTATCTCCAAGGGTCTATGTATCACCAAGATTATGTGTATCACCGAGATTATGTGTATCACCAAGGGTATGTGTATCATAAAGGGTCTGTGTTCTACCAGGGGTCTATGTATCACCAAGTGTTTATGTATCACCAGTGGTCTATGTGTCGTCAAGGGTCTTTTTATCACCAAGGGTATGTGTATTACCTAGGGTGTGTGTATCACGAAGTGTCGGTGTATCAACTAGGTTCTATGTAGGTTCATACCAAGGGTATGTGTATAACCTAGGGTCTGTGTATCAACTAGGGTCTGTGTATCACCAAAGGTCTATGTATCACCTAGGGTCTGTCTATCACCAGTGGTCTTTGTATCACCAAAGGTCTGTGTATCACCTAGGGCTTGTGTATACCAGTGGTCTATGTATCAACAACGGTTTATATATCACCTGGAGTCTGTATCAACAAGGATAAGTTTACTTAGGGTATGTATGTCACTAAGGGTCTATATTACCAAGGATATGTATATCACTAAGGGTTTGTATATTATTAAGGGTCTGTGTATCACCAAGGGTATATATTGTATCACCTAGGGTCTGTGTATCACCAAAGGTCTATGTATCACCTAGGGTCTGTGTATCACCGGTGGTCCATGTATCATCAAGGGTCTATGTATCACGTAGGGTCTTTATCAACAAGGATCTGTATCACTAAGGATATGTGTATCACCAAGGATTTGTGTATTATTGAGGGTCTGTGCACCTTTGTCCATCAGCAGGGTTTGAATATCTTTCATAAGAGTGTGCATGTTTATTACATATGTTTGAATAGCCATATCAAGGAAATTTTAAAATTCTTTCAGGGATTTATTACATTATTTTGTAGGCCTATATGGGGTCTAACATAATCTGCATTATTAAAATGAAATCCAATACCGGTATTAAGAAGGTCTGTGGATGTGTTTAGTAAAGTTCACCTCTTGTAGAGAAGGCATGATCGAATTGTATAAAGAAATACATGTACATGTATATTGATTTTCTCAGGATTAAAATTTCTTGATTCTAATATTGATCTTATTTACTTTTTATTGTGTAGTGTAAGCCTGTTAAGAGGATGCAAAGGACATTCAAATTAACTTAAAACGATGGGCAAAGAGTTTATTTATGTGGATTGTGGAAATATCTCTACATTGTTAATGTGTATCATGATGTATTTTGATTCCTCATGATGTATTTTGATTCCTCCCGTGGGG